AACTGAGATAAACACTAGCAAGTACTAGTAAAGTACTTTTCAACAACTTAAACTGTCACAACCCTAATGCTTTCAAAAGATAAGTTTTTCTTCTACAGTTTGGTTTGAAATTCGCGCAAAGCTACACGAGTGCTATCTGCGCTAGCCGTCCCTAATTTAGCAGTGATAGACTAGAGGGAAGGAAGCTTGCCAACACCACCCTCCGCCAACACTTGGACTACTCTTTTACCAGCGAATAGTGAGATTGACCGTCACATTATAAAGCCCCCACGGCTGAAAGGGCGAGCCTGTTCGGTGAAGGGGATTCTAACTCGTGACTCTCAGATTGCGAGTCGAGCGCCCTAACCACCAGGCCATGCCAGGTCTACCTTCTACAAAAATTAACAGGGAGTCCGAGTTTTTAACAGAGCCTAATTTGAGTATTGTCGTTATCAGATCTTTAGTAAACCGTTCTTAAAAAATTCTGAAATAAAAGATGGTTAGTTATATCTGTATGTCTTACTTTTCTTTCATAAAGGTATTCCTTTCATCCGCATAAGGCTCAAATAGGGTGCATTCCTTTCTGGAGAATGTTTCCAATACAAACTCGGTGAAGTGGATGGCAGTATGCTTAGTTAAAGACTGTAATAAAAAAAATATATATATATATACAGGCAAGTAGGTAAATGTATCTCGCCTCGAAAACTGAGAAACATATCCATAAAAAGTTTATAAACTCATGTTAAATAGTGACATAGAAACCTATTCTATCATTTGATAAAGGCATAAATCATTAGGTATCAACAAAAAGATGAGCTTGAAAACAGGATTTACATGATACACTTGGTATTTAGACTTCTGTCGGGTGCTGAAAAACGTTTTGATGTAATTTTTTTGTTACAAGCTAGGAACCATGCCAAACAACATCTCTGGTGTATGTAATCATAATTCGACCAGATACCATTCTTAATTTTGAAGTTCAAGGCTAATTTTAGATGAAAGTCAATAGGTGAATTTTGTTTGTTTGTTTTTGATATTGAAAGGTCAAAAACCAAGCACCACTGTATTTTTTATATCAGTTCAGACCTACCTTACTGGAATAAACAAGCCATAAATATGGGGAAAGTTCCAAGCTTATTATTTAAACAGTTATGTTTCATTTCGTCAATGTTCCAATTCGCTGCTCTCAGTAGAAACGAGTTATTAAAAGTCTATACTACTGACAACTAGCCATTTGTAACAACATAAGTCAATCCATCTTATTCAACGGACAATAACACCATTATTATAAAATCAAAAACTTTAAAATTTAGTTAAAGCCCTGGTAAATATTTTACGGTACCTACATTTCATATACGGGACATGTAAAATCAGTGGGTATACTTTATGTCAATACGGGCTGTTATTAGGAACTCTTCGTACGATAGATATAAGCTATACACACACGAGAATTGCACTTAATTGTAGAATGTATAAAGAGGATTTACGATTACGCAGAAATTACAGACATTGTAGCCAAAACCGTTCGAAAAAGGATCACCATCTACAGGCCTACATTGTTAAAATGTCAGTTAGATCCCATTTTGGGACTATTATTTGAAAAATATTTGTACGGTAGGCCAATTCATGTTTTTTTATTTTATACTGTATTTACATATTATCTACACAACGCGGTATGGGGTAATTTATTGGTTTTCATCCGTGGATGACTTGCCATCTGTTACAACTCCATATAATCAACTAACGTCATCTGGATACAAAAAAGAACATGTATTACTGCTGATTGTCAATGTTTTACAACAAATTAGACCTGCATCTCAGCTTTGTCTGCAATGGAGAACTATTCTGCAAGAAGAAATCTGTCCTCATATCAATTAAATGTGTCGTCTAACATTTTCATGTCCAAACTGTTGACTAGTAGACATTAATAGTGCTGGGAAAAAGAAGTATTTGTACACTAACTTCAGTTTACTTTAAAGTAAACTTGTATGTTTACTGTTGTTTCTGTTACAGTAAGAGAGTAATTTAGATGTAAGGATATATATGAGGAAAATTCACAAACATCGCAAAGTTTTTCAGGAGACATATTTTTCTCATTGTTAACGCAAATGCATAAATTTACATAATCAGACTGTATTGTAGAGTACTATCATTTTATAGCATAGGATTCCTAAAGAATTAATGTAATAATGTAATTATTTATGTTCGAGAACCACATGATAAATACATAAATAGCTCAATATTGTTCATTTATTTTCAATAAAATTATATTTTAGCCATTTTTATTCTTGTTTTTCCTTGTAATTAAAATGCATAAAGTAACAATTTATATAATTATAATTTAAAATTTGCACTTATTTTAGTTATGATCCCCAGAATTACATTTAAAATCCAGTCTGATCTTACTTGCAGCACATTTAGGACTTTATTTAACACGGATACCAGCTTGTAACGGAAAGTGCCATCAGAATTATTATGGGATCTTAGCTGGCCAAGTACTAGAAAATGATAAATGTTAAAATCATAAATAATATTCAACGTTAAACTGGTACACAGTTAAAAACATTTTATAAAGGCCTATCTATGGCCTTCAAAAAGTTGACGACTCTACATGTTTCGACGTTACAACGTCATCCTCATACTATAAGTATGATAAATGTTGTTTGCTTCACCATAAAATATCAAATTAAACAGTTTCTTAGTTTACGTTTGATAAACGATTTTTAGTTTATCCTTTGATATGCTTATCACACATTGGTAAAAAGCGTTTAACTTACCTGCATCACAGTTAAAGAGTGTTGTAGTTTACCTGTATCACAGATTGTTAAACAGTAATGTAACTTTCCTTTACCACACATTTGTTAAACAGTGTTGTAACTTTCCTTTACCACACATTTGTTAAACAGTGTTGTAACTTTCCTTTACCACACATTTGTTAAACAGTGTTGTAGCTTACCTGTATCACAGATTGTTAAACAGTGTTTTAGCTTACATCTATCAAAGATTTTTAAACAATGTTGTAACTTTCCTTTACCACACACTTGTTAAACAATGTTGTAACTTTCCTTTACCACACATTTGTTAAATAGTGTTATAACTTACCTGTATCACAGATTGTTAAACAGTGTTTTAGCTTACATCTATCAAAGATTTTTAAACAATGTTGTAACTTTCCTTTACCACACATTTGTTAAACAATGTTGTAACTTTCCTTTACCACACATTTGTTAAATAGTGTTATAACTTACCTGTATCACAGATTGTTAAACAGTGTTTTAGCTTACATCTATCAAAGATTTTTAAACAATGCTGTAACTTTTCTTTACCACACACTTGTTAAACAATGTTGTAACTTCCCTTTACCACACATTTGTTAAAATCAGATTCTTCCCCCTCCATTTGTGGATTCTTGTGGTGTTATGTTTATCAATGCACGGTCTGAGTAGCGTTGCACCATCGCTAATTCCGAAACACCGACCTCATGGAGACAACCGCCCAACAGCAACTACTTTAAAGTTTTAATTTATTGTTATTAATTATTATATATAAATTTATTTCTTAATAATTATAATGTTTTAACAGCAAATACCAAATGTAAATGAGACAATATAATATTATTACCTTTACTACTATTATACATTGAGAAGTTTGGCACCAACATTGGTACAGAATCTCCACTCAAGGTTCTTCTAATAATAATATCCAAATAATTTTATTTAATTGGCATCTTCTCTAGCCACATACTTTCACGATCGCTCCACTTCCTGCCATTCTTTATTTCGGTAAAATTCAGGTTTGAATATTCGTGGTGGGCACAGCACAAATAGTTCATTGTGTGTGCACCTTTAAACTTAACAATAAACAAACAAACGCTCCACTTCCGTATTCCCACCATTTTTCTTCTAGTGTCCTAGTTGACCACTGTGACCTCTGTTCCATCTTTTCCTGGTATCTCAGTTTACATTCTCTCTCCAGGTTGTCCGAGGACTACACCTTCCCGACTAGGTGGTTCATCGAATTTTTGTTTACATGATGGAGGTAAGTTGGGAGATTATTAAGCAGTCCTTTGACATAGATCAACTGCACAAATGTTTAGTATTTTGTGCTTAAAATGAAGCCAAAGTGATTGATTTTTTCACTTGAAAGGAATAATTCTACAGCTATATATTTTATATAACATTGCAAAAGTAAATTTAGAAAATATGTAATATTGTGTGAAAGAAAATGGATACAAAAATGTTAACATTTAAAAGCAAAATTTCTACTATTAAACAACCCATGGCAAAGACAGACTAAAAATGAATAAAATACTTTTAGCAATCCATGGTAGAACTAAATATAATGAAATGTTAAACAAACTATAGCAGAGGTAAGAAAAATATTTTTAATAATCTTTGACAAGTGTG